TTTAGATGTGGTTCCATGCACAGACGAATATTGTACGAATTGTAGAATTTTAAATATTAAAATAAAAAAAAAGAAAAAAAATCCTTACATCCCTTATCCTGCAGCCACTGCTCAAGCCGAGCCCTAACTGCGTCAGCTGAGAGCCCTCCCTTCGATCGAGCCAGCACGTGCCCTACTTATTCTCGGGTTGCCCGATCGCTGCCCTTGCCGAGCTTCACGACCGAACTCCCTTCTTCCCGCGAAGCTTCCTCGAGGCCCCCTCAGTACAACTTTCGACCTTTCCTCCACTTCCCCTGTGTCCCCACCTACTCTCCACGCCCTCTGCCTAAAAGCTTCGCTTCTATGGTCGATACCTGCCCCTGCAATGTTTGTCGCCACGCGCTCGTCCTTCTCACTTTCGACTCACCGCCCAGGTAAGTGCAGGTAAGGCTTCTCCTCTCCCCTGGCTCTATAAACCCCACTTGGGGAAGGGTTTCTAGTTGTTTAAATTTTGGAGAGGGGGGATGTTCTACCAAAATTCTGAGTGATTCTTCCCTCTTGGTTGGTCTGTTCTTTGTGCTTGGAGCTTTGGTTTTCTCTGTTCTATTTTGTGCAAAAATAAAAAAAAGGGGCAAGTTTTGTTGTTGGATTGCGGCTGGTTCTGTGTCGTTGCTGAAGCTTTGCCGTTCGACTCTTTCTAGTTTGCTCTTTCTCCTTTCTTTGAGCATTTTGGAGGCAACCTCTATTAATCTTCATGAGTTCGATCTTTCTGGTAGCTCATTCATTAACATATATATGCTTCATTTCCTAATCTTATTTAATATGCCAAAGGGTATGATTTCTGGTTTTATTCATAAAGATTTAGTGAATTGCAAGCTTTGACACATTAAATATGATTAGGAAAAGAAGCACATATATGTTAATGAATGAGCTATTAGAAAGATCAGACCCATGAAGATTAATAGAGGCTACCTCCAAAATGCTGGCTTGTTTTGGTGATTGGTTCATTGGATTGGTTTGGTGGCTTTTGAGCAGCATCTATTGGTTTCATTTATTTGCTGATATTTGGGCTATAGTTTTTGAGCCTTTTAAAATATGACTCACTGATTTGGGCTACAGTGGAAGAATTGTTTGGACAAATATGACTCACTGATTTGGCTCTCCTCAAGCTTGAAACCTCGGAGCTCGCTGTTTTGTTCCCATGGACAATTTGAAACCTTCAATTTACAAATCTGACACCCAAATTTTCATATGAATATTCATAATATTTTGATTTGATATTCTCATGCATAAGTATTAGACAATAATGGTATATTTGTTTAAAGATTTAAGGACTTTACATAGAACCATTGATTTTTTTAGGTGTTTGTGTAAATACATAATCATTGTGTGGTTTGTATGCAAATGCTTATAAGAATTTCTCTTATGCGTTGCGGGACTGATGTGTTTATTAGCAATTGAAGTATTGTGGTTGTTGCCCTATGTTGAAATCATATATTTTGCAATCTTTCTTGATGGGTAGATTCCTGTCTTTTTTGGTGCGGTATTAACTGTGAAGGAAATTTTCATGCATGCCACAAAATACTTATACATTTACATATCTAACACCTAAACTTTCATTTGTTCATGCATGCTAACCACTATATGATAAAGTTGGTGTTAAACCTATAAATGCATAGGAACTTAAATGCTGAGTATATAAATCCTCTTTTTCTTTTAAATTTGAACATTTGCACTTGAAAACGAGGAATCATAAAGACATAGAATTGCTGTGGTTAAATGTGTTTAATATCTTTTCATATAATGATGCAATTGTGTATGTGCGGTATACTTGAATCCAAGAAATACTTATACTTGAGCAAAATGTGCACACATTTAGGATTCTTGAAAAGGCAGGTTTTGGGTCGCAGTTTTGGTGATTTATGGGCTGTGATTCTGGCCACTTTTGGTGATTTCTTCGTTGGTTCATTGGATTGGTTTGGTGGCTTTTGGGCAGCATCTATTGGTTTCATTTATTTGCTGATGTTTGGGCTACAGTTTTTGAGCCTTTTAAAATACGATATTCGGGGCGTTTTGTGCTGTAGTTTTTTTTTTTTTGGACCTTTTAAAAATGTAAATTTGTGGGTGTTTGGGCGGTAGTTTAAAGCCTTTTAAAATTCAATTTTTGGGCTAAATTGGCTACAGTTTCGAAGCTTTTAAAATGCACCTTTTGTGGGCTGATTTCGGCAAGTTATTTGGAACATTTTAAAATTATGTTTTGGTGGGCTGAAATGGCTGTAGTTTTGGGGGATTTTAAATGCGCCTTTTAGCGATATTTTGGGACTGTTTTGGCGTACTTTGGGGCCGCGATTTGACTCTATTGCGGAGATTTGGGCTGAAGCTTTTGGGCTTGGTTTTGGCTTGGTTGTGGTTCGGTTTTGGCCTAGTTAGGAGCTGCAGTTTGATCTTGTTGAGGGGTGTTGGGTTGCAGCTTTTGGGCTTGGTTTCGGCTTGGTTGTGGCTCGGTTTTGGCCTAGTTAGGGGCTGCGGTTTGATCCTGCTAGCTTTTGGGCTTGGTTTCGGCTTGGTTTTGGCTCGGTTTTGGTCTACTTTTAGGCCGCGACTTAACCCTGTTTTTGGAGGTTTGGAGCTGTATTAGTGGGCATGATTTAGCGATTTTTAAGATGCATTGAGATCTTGATGTTTGGGCTCGTTTGTTCTCTCTCTTCCCCTCTCTGCAACCTTCATGCGAGAATTATTTATGCTTCATATTGATAGTGGGAAGAAGTTTAAATATTTGGAATGTTGGGATGATGAAAGTCTTAAAAGAGGCTTTTTCATGTCATCGGGTGTTGGAAATCGTTTTAAATGCAGTTTTGAGGGTCTATCCATCCTTTACTATTTTTGTATGTCAAATGGATCAATCCCTCATCTCTCTCACCCTCTTTTTTTTCTTTTCTTTTCTTACTTCTTGGTTTTATTTAGGTGTTTATGTTCGAAGTATGAGCGCACATATATAACTCCTGCTATATATGAACCATCAAACAAAGCTGTAAGAATGTCGCTTTCGGGGTTCAAGGACAACGATGAAAACGACATCTAGGTATGTGTGACATGTTCTAACAAAATCCTGACTCAATGACTTTGGCATTACAACATCTCTAACACTAAGGGTCTGTTTGGGGCAGCTGCAGTTTATCCAGCTTATCTTGATAATCTGTTGATAAGCAGCTGATCCGGATAAGTTGTCTGTCTGTTTGATTTGTGCGTTTAGAGAACAACTGATTCTGGAAAAATGACCAATCTGTCATTGTTCTGGATAAGTTGTAATTGTTTGGTTTGTGCATTTTATAAACAACTTATTTGCAGAATTTTTTTGTTAAATAGAAAAATTAGAATTAAAATCTCTATATACCATTATTTGTGGATTCAGGAGTCAACTCAAAATCAAATCATTAGAATCAAAATTATCTCAAATCGAAATAATTTTGATTTTAATCATAGCCGAACTCATAAGAGCTCGACTAGAATCAAACCTACAAAGGGCCTTATCCATTTTTGAATTTGGTGCAACGAGGGAATTTTCCTTTCTTGAATATGGAAGTGGGGTCATAATCACGGCCATCAAGGACATCAATTGGATTCCACAATTTCAATGTTTGATTTGGAGTAAATTCTGTCTAACTTTCATGTTCAATTCCTGATTCCCACAAAAGAGTCTTAACGCCTTTATTGTCGTTTACCCTCTTTATAATATATGCTAAACTTGGTTTCTGATATCTAGTACCTATAACACATTCCAATTCTGTCCCTTTAACTTTGCTCAAAATTTTCGTAGTATTTCAAAAGAACATTTAAGAATTCAACTACTTGAAAAATTTGGAGTTATAAAGGTATGTGATGAATGGGGGTCAATGCTTCAAATTGGCTAGAATAAATTATATCATGAACCGTCAATCATTGCCTTGGATTCTTCTCTCTTTCCACTAAATTTATGATTTACTTTCAAACATAATCCTAACCGTTTTTAGATGATAATTCTAATATTGCGCTTCAACTTATAATGGGCGATGAAGTTTTGTAGACTGTTGGTGGCTGTCATTGTTATTGTTATTATTGGCAAAACATTAATTCACGTGTTGATTTGTTTACATCTCTAAAAGAAGCACAACAATTATGCTTAGTTGTACTTAGCAAATATTGATAGAACAACTCATTGGGGTTAAATTTTCCAAGCATAGATAGAATTAATGTGGATCACAAAATTTATTGACATTGAATATACAATAGATTTGTGTCGCAACAAATAGCATGAGAATAAAAGGTTTATTAGACTTTTGGTTAATTTTAGTATGATGCCTAGTATTTTTCCCAACCATGAAATTTTGGTATTTTATTTCTTTTCTATTCGTATCCTATCATTACCATGAGAATTTTTTTTCATTGAACTTTGCTGCTATTTTTAATTACATATTGTGACTTTTGTTTTGTTTTTGGGCTTTTGCAACCCTCTTGAGGCTTTTTGTGTGATGTGGTTTTTTGTTTTTTTCCAGTGATTCCTTGGCGATCTTTTCATTAGAGCATTTGTCTTTTATGGCTCTAGTTGAGAATTTTTTGTTTCAATTTTTTCGTTATGTGATTCTTTGTTTTGGAGTTGAATCCCTATTGGTTATGTATTTTTTTAGGGCTTGTGGCATGTGATACAATTTGTATTTGGCTATGCAATTCCTTACTCTTTTGTGATTGAGTTCCTTCAGAAATTTGCTCGCTTGTTCCATGATTTTCAGCATCTCATTTTATATATTCATGAAGAAAACTTGTATTATTGGACATTTCAAAATATGCCAGTGTGTCACCAAGTTAAGTTTTAAGGCTTGTGGACCAAGGTTAACCTAAGCCTTGAAACTAAATTTATTTCCTGAAAAGTTTTGGTGAAGAATATTATAATTTTTGAATTTGTCACTTTATTTACTATAGTGAAAGTACTTTTAATTTCACCAAGCAAACTTGAAAGCTGCTGGCTTCATATTTCTTGGCATCAGCTGATGATGAAGGTGAAGATATTCCTGAAGAAGAGGCTGTTTGCAGGATATGCTTATGTGAGCTTGGGGAAGGAGGGGAAACTTTTAAGATGGAGTGTAGCTGCAAAGGAGAACTTGCACTTGCTCACAAAGAATGTACAATAAAATGGTTCAGCATCAAGGGAAATAAGACCTGTGATGTCTGCAAGCAAGAAGTGGAAAATCTTCCTGTAACATTACTGAGATTGCAAAATCATCAGACTGCTAATAGAAGGGCATCAAATACTTTTCAAGAAAGAGAACCTTCTCGTTACAGGTAATTCTGAAGTATTGACAATAGGTAACTTGAATAGTTATTATGATTATTAACCTTAGTCAGAGTTTGTCTCATTGAATTAAATGTTTGACGTTCAAAGAAATTTTCCACTTTCTCAATTAGATTGAAATGAGTTGCTTGGTTTCATCAGATTTTATTGTGCCATCTCAATTTTCTTTCATGTGGCAGCTGTCATGTCTGAACCAACAACCCCACCATCATTTTTCTGTCAGTGAGCTAATAAGCACGAAAAACCTTGTTTTGTGTGTGTGTGCGCGCGCGCGCTCTTGGGGAAATCATATATTTTCAGTTTTATTGAAGTTATTGATGTTGACGATCTTCTGAAATAGGTAAAAACAGAAATGGGGACTAAGTTACAAATTATAGTTTATTATGCATTTTCTTACGAAGTTTGATTGCTTATGTTAGAAACTGCAAACTACAACGAGCCATTTCTTTTGATATAATATTCTGGCAAAAGTTTATTTGCAATATTTCCTATAGAGAAACTCCCAGCAAAGGGACATTGATCAAGCCATTTTGCATCGGATATGCTAGGAGAAAAGATTATCTACTGGCACGAAAGACCTGAAAAAAAGAGGAAAAGAAAAAACTTGCGGCCACAATCAACGTGTTAGCTTGGGTATTTCTCACACCTTTGCTAGCTGTAAGCACATCAACATAAGCCTCTCTTTGCTTTTAGGGCACCTTCAACTCTTGTTATTGTAGAAATTTCTCTCTCCTTAAGTTTGGCGTCAGAGGATTAGCCCAATAGTTGCATTGCAATCTAAATTACTACCTCAACCGCAGTTATATACTATCGCAGCTACATGACATTACACATCTTATCTACATTTCTTAATATTGCACCTCCCTTGTCACGTTGGTTCTGCTGCCACGCTCATCTTTCCTTCGCATCTTCTTACTCTCTGAGTGAACTCTCTCGATCATTGGCAATCTTAATCTTAATTTATTAGTCTCCTGCTCTTGATTCCCCTTAGTTGCATTGCAATCTAAATTACTACCTCAACCGCAGTTATATCCTATCGCAGCTACATGACATTACACATCTTATCTACATTTCTTAATATTGCAACTCCCTTGTCAAGTTGGCTCTGCTGCCACGCCCATCTTTCCTTCGCATCTTCTTACTCTCTGGGTGAACTCTCTCGATCATTGGCAATCTTAATCTTAATTTATTAGTCTCCTGCTCTTGATTCCACTTTCTCCCCCTTTTGGCATATTTTCTCCTAGTCATTTATAGTACCCTGAACCTATTTGTGCAAATCACGCAACCCATGAGCCTCTTCTGTGACCCTCATCCATTATTGTAGCCTTCCTATCTTAGCTATGCCTTCAACTCAATGTCTTCAACTTGCCAGTCCATATAGAACCCATGGAACTCGTGGCCTTTGAAACTCTCAACTGTTGACCTCAATTCGAGCTCTAACTCAACTTGGGTGATTGAGATGTCAAAGACAAGTAACTAATGCAGTTGATTGGGACATTGTCATTTGAATTTCTATTGTACTGTCCTGCTATGAGCCATGTAGATGATGCAAGGGTGCGGGCCTCACATGCGCTATACACACTGTATTTTGTGCCTTTGTCTTCCCTGTCCTCTCTCTTGATATTTCATTTCCTCACAAATCTCAATCTCTTCTGCACTTAGAGCCTTCGCTTACTTTGACTCCTACCCTGCCCTCAGTTCGTCATTCATCGTTTTCCCTTAAATGTCGGCTCTAAACACACCAGCGAGCATTTTTTTTGTCAGGGCCCTCTTCTTAAACCTTTGGGTAGCTTATTGCGAACTTAGCTTGACACCAATAATGCAAATTATGATAGGTGTAATTTCTTGAGCTCTTTTTCTTCTTCTAACATCTACGGATTTCATCACAACTCACCCCCAATATGGCATTTGTCATGAGACCCTCAGGCATTTCTTTCAGTGTAAATCATGCCTCACCCTTTTAGGCATTTGTTAAGGCGAGCTTTGGAGACTCTGTAACATGAGAGCCAACAAGATTCGTGGGGAGATGATGTTTATTTCAAGGCTCAAGCAATTTATTTTCATTATGATGTAAAGATTGCTGCTTGTGACATCTGACGTGCTGAGCTGTATTGCCTTGTTGGAGTGAGTAAAACAATAAATTCACGAAGAGATGTTGGCTTAGGCTGTTTTTACTCAACTTTCCAAATATCTCTATATTAATTTCATAGTATTTCCCATAGAACAATGCATCCATCTACTCACTCAGTTGTTGTATTCTTTAAGGAGTATCACATAAAACCGATCGTCTTAAACCCATTTGTTACCTTGCCACTTTGTTTTTTCTCATTTTTATGTCATTGCTTTCATAGACACTAACTTGAAATAAAAGCATAACGTAATGCTTGCCTATACACCTCAACTCAAAATTCACAAGTTTTGAAAACTTTTGAAATAATGAATTCTTCTTTATTATCAGGAGAGTTGCTCAAGCTATATTAGAACTTCACCTTAAAAAATGGAGAAAAAACATTATGATTTTGCTTTATAGATGGGCTACAATAACTCCTTTTTTTAATGCTACGAGAGAATGACTTTGCATAGATGATGTCTTACATATTGCTTTCTTGCCAAAAGCTTGATGATTCATCTTGACGTTATATCTTTTCCGCACATAATTTTTGCATACTGTAGCTACTACAGTACTGCGAGATTCAATATCGCAGGGGTCGGGTGACGAGTGTCTGAAAGTCATGTTTTCCTTTCTTATGGTTTTTTTCTATATTACCTTGCATTCATTTTTAGTTCTTTTTTTATGTATGTGCTGCATTAGGGTTTGAAAGGTAGTTCTTATGTTGTTTTTAGTCAGGACAGTCGTCTGCATCTAGGGTTTCCTCTTCTAGGATTTTATCTTAGGGTGAAAAGGTACTCTAGCTATAACTCGTATGAGGTAGTGATCTTCTTCCAAGGGACGAGTGGTGCTCTGACTGTAGCTTGTTTGTTAGGGGTATTTATCCCGACCCAACTCCTTCGCAATCTTTCCGGCCGTCGTCATTGCCTTCCCCTCCTTTTGTCCAAACTGCACTCGCAGTCCCAACCTTTCACCTTTGCCTCCGCTCCTGTTTCTCGCTTTTCTGTTTTGACTACTGTTTGACCCTCCGTACTTGCTGCAGCCGCCTAAGAATCAACCTTGGTGTCTTTTTTTTGCAGTACCGCCACCCAAGCACCTATGCCTCGCTACCACAACCCTCCCCTTAGGACAACACTTGCTAGTATGCAGTTCACTACACTTACCGTCATGGCCCCTCGCCGTCTCAGTTTTTCAATTGCCAGTTGTTGTCGTTCCAGGCCCTCTGCTTCATCGCCAATGCAATTCCAACACCTCTTTTTGTTGTCCAACAACCCACAACCTATTTCAACATTCTACCACTACTCCCCAACCACCCCGCTGACCTCCACCACCCTTGGATTAGGCCATGGTTGAGTTTATCTTGTTTTGTTGTAATTTTCATTTCAAGTGTGTTTGGTTATAACTATGTATTTGTTTTTAGTAAAAAAATTATTTTTCGTATTGTGGTTTGAGTTAACTCTATTATAAATTGGTATCAATAGCCTAAAACTAGTCCTATTCTAGTATTTCTAGCACCCCTAACACCCACTCTATCCGAAAGAAGAAATGTTTTCTTTTCCTCCCACCCTACACACATCCTTCCACCTACCTATACCCTGTCCAAAACCAAACCACTGCCGAGACAATTGCCAGAATTCGGTCAGGAACCTGACATTGACAACATATACTGGTTACTCAACCAAGTGCTACATTTGCTCGATGCCATTGTGAAATGAACCCATGGCGAGACGTTTGTCGATTTGTAGTAGTGAAAGTCGTGAAGGAGAACAAATAGAACACCTGAATCCCTTTTGTAGGGATGATTCCAACGGAGACATATACAAGCCACAACATTTTGGGGTACAATATCAGTGGAGATCTAGTGCTAATGTGTCTATTGGAAGACACAAAGATAAGATGGTTGTTAGAGAATACTGAAATGAGGTGTTGTTGGAGGATACTAAGTTGAGGCTCCTTTTAGAGGACATAAATGGATTGACTGTTTGAAGACACAAAGAAAACACACCTATTGGGGGATACAGAGATCTAAGATTTATAGTGTACTTATCGGGCTTCGAGTAGAGAATGAATTATATGGATTTCTCAAATGGATGCAGAGTGTGAAGCAGATCTTTGAATACAAGTGCCCGATGACAAAAGAGTTGAGCTCCTCACCATCAAATTGAAGAAGAATTCTTCTTTGTGGTGGGATAATTAGAAAGGGTGAGGCAGAGAGGATGATGAGACAATCACTTTCTGAAAGAAGATGAAATGAGAGATACAACGATAGTACCTACCCCGACATTCTTGACAAAATATTTTCTTAAAGTCCCACTATTTGCAACAGAAGGAGCTATCAGTAGAGGAGTACACGATAACATCATATAGCTTAAGTTGAAGTGTGAGTCGAAGGAAATAGAGGAGCACTCTATTGCCAAGTATTTGGAAGGTTGAAGCCCGTCATCAGTAATGTGGCTTAGTTGCAACCCTATTGGACACCGAGGGACATAGCACCGAAAGTGGAGAAACAACAGAAGTTGTCAGTTAGTTGAGCAGGCAACCACCCATAGTTGGAGACCTCAGGAGGACCACACCTCAGGGAGTTTAGCAAACTTCTTAGGAGTAGGACAAAGTTACTCGGAGTGAGAAGATGTTTGAGAAGAGTAGCATTCCCACTACAACTCCATCCATAAAATGCTTTAAGTGTCATCGTTTTGGACACATCGCTTCTAGTTGCTCGACGAGTCAAGTTTTGACTTTCATCGAGTAGGGTGCATTGGCGAGAAATCTAAACAAGATGAATAACAACTTCCACCATATGAGGGAGATATATTTATGGTTCGACGAGGCACCAAGGGAGCATTAGCGGCTTCACCATAATATATCCTACACTCGTTGCACCATGAAGGTAAAAATTTTGCAGCATCATCATCGATGGAGGTATCATAAAAATGTGACTTCAACACTGATGGTGGACAAATTGAACATCACTATTCAGAGACATCCCCAACCATATTTTCTGACATGGTTTAAGAAGAACATTATAGACATTGATAGGTGTCTCATAGAGCTTTTCTATTGGGATTCAGCTGCAGGATCAACTTTTGGTGCGATGTGTTGTCCATAGATGCCTGTCACTTTTTGCTTGGAGACCGTGGCAGTATGATCACAAGACTCAACTTGTTGGGTATAGGAACGCCCACACTTTCATGAAAAATGGCAAGTGCATAGTCCTACCTTATGTGGAGCCCGAGATTGCACGTGTCCTTGCTAGCAAAGAAGCATAGGGAGGATCAATCTTAGTGATGATAGAGGATTGTTGGAGAGAAGAGCCGGTAGCAGGCATAGGACAACCAGTACAGAGAGTTTTAGGACACCATGGTTGCCACCATTTAGGGAGATTCAGATTGTCCTTACCTCAGATCGGGTTGAACCAACCTTGGGTTGCCTTTGAAGAGTTCCAAATAATACACTAGGCACAGAATCCATGTTTAGCTTAGCAGGGTACCCCTAGATAGTTAAGCCTATATGAATGTTTGATTACTAGTGGGGAAGTCTTCTCAGGTGTTTTGAGGGACAATACAGTTGTCAACGGGATTCAGGTGCAGATATATGCTAAGAGTGATAATTTTAAAATTTTAAATTTGCTAATTTGCTACAACAATATGCTAAGTTTGAATACTTAGTGCCTAATGATTCACTTTAATCGAAAGTGCTCTCCCGTTATTGGGAGGGTACCCCTATGGGAAAACTTGAACCTAGATCTTAAAGTACTCGTAAAATGAGGGCGAAATCTTGGGGTAGTGTCATATATACTATTTCATTTGCCTTTGAACATTTGACCTAGAACCTCATATCAAACTCCCTCATCTCATTCTTTCTTTTTGAGAGAGGTTGGGTCGTTGAATTTTTTGATCTAACAATCATTAGATAATAACTTTGGCTGTTAATATGAAATTTATACAAATACTCAGATTAGGCAACATTTCGCGACAAACTCCCTCGTCCCTTTTTTTTTTTTTATGAGAGATGCCGGGTTGTTGAATTTTCCATGCTAACATTCATTAGATAATAACTCTGGGCTCTTAATATAAAATTTATTCAAATACTAGGATCAGGTAACATTTTCAACTTCTTTTTCAACTCTGGGTACGCTAGTATACTGCTTGCCTTTGCTGCCAAACTCATAAAAAATAAAAAAAACGAATAGACGAGTAAATAGTTTTTTTAAAGTTATATCATACATTTATTCAACATATAATAGATTCACTATATGCTAAAGAATATGAGATTTAAAAAATATTGTACAATACCCTTAATATTTGAACTCAACTTAGAAAGTATGCTATGGCTCCAAATATTTGGAATGGTGCTCAAATGGCATCATAGGCATACTTGATGTCTGTAAATGATGCACTAACATCAATGATGATGTTTGTGGATTTATGAAGTATGTCGATGCATTAAATAAGTTTATAAGTGAATTCTTGAATGATGAAATTATTTTATGTAGCTCAGCACGAGGGTCCCAGTCAATCCTTGGGTGATCCAACAGAACTAAAGTGTGTTTCCGAGGATAGTAAATTGCCCAAATCACCTCTCAAGAAGAAAATAATTTCGGTACCTTCTAGGGACCTAGCTTAATTACATTCAATACTGACTCGGTTGATCAATTAGACAGGCCAAGGGATTGAGCTTGATCTTGCTATTTCCTTGTTGATTCAAGGGTCTTGATGAGTTATCACTTCAAAATTCATTTCATCTAAAATAATAAAAATATTATCTAATTTACTAACCTTGCATATAAGATGAGATTGTATGACCCATCGGTTGTGTGATTCTACTATTTGGTTATGTCCCAAAGGAAGGCAGGTTTAAAGCCAACTCTATAAATCTCAATCCTTGTGTAATTCATGGATAAAGCAATACTTCCTAGATTCAAATTAAATTAATTTCAATTATCAAATGCTAGTTAGAAATATAATTGACATGTTATGGGACTTATAAAGGAAGTAAGCTCCCATATTCTTTATTTGGGTCTACTCAAAGCTATGAAGCCCCTAAAATGAAATCTAAATCAATGGGGTCTTCTTACTTATTGGGTAAGGCTATAAAATCTTTGAGGTTGCAAGTCACAATGTTGTACTCTCTAATAGATATTGGCCCAATCCAAATTTAATTTTGTTTGTCATAAAGTAACAAATCTGTTTGCCCAAACAAATTGAGTCCTTCAAATGGATACATTTATACCACCAAAATGTTTCATATCACATAAAAAATACTGCTATTTTAACTTTTCAAAGGTGAAATACACCCTTTATCTATAGGTAAGGTGGCATATATGTAAAAATTGAAGTTTAGGTGATAGACATGTAAATGCATAAGAATTGAGTGGTATGTTTGTAAATTTTCCTAAAATTGATGTCTTCTAGTCAAGATGAAGACTTTGAAAATTGATGCTTATGCCAGGCCTCTTAGATCTGGTCAATCTTGTCCAAGCCCATTGCCAATGTACGGGTTGACGTTAATCTAAAAGAATTTATTTGGTAAATATTTTCACCCCTATCTGCCCTAGGTAATTGAGGTGGTGCAACCTATGTTCTTAGACGTATAGTTTATAACCCGTTGATGCTAGCAAATTGGGTTTATTAATATTCTTAATATGGCATAACTATAGGACATTTGATCAAGTCACTAACATTCATTCAACTATTTTTATGAACTATATTCAAAGTCTAAAACATTGATTTAGACATCCAAACTGATGCTAAGAAATCTGTTTGATGGAGAATGCTTTTCTACCAAACATGAGTGATTAAATTTGCAGGGATTGCCCCTATAAGAAGTCAAGACCCTAGATCTAAATAAGCTTATTTTGAACATTAGGATGACTTTGGTTTTTAAAATAATTGTAATCTACCTGATTAAAAACCATTTCTTAGTTTTCTTAGCCATCTACAGTTTGAGGAGGCTCACAGGGGTAGGGCTGTAAATGAGCCGAGCTTGAGAGAGCCCAGACTTGGCTCGTGTTCAGCTCTTTCAAAATTTGCTCGTGTTTGAAATTGCTCGTGAACAGAGTGTTCGTGTTTTGCTTGAAATTGGAACGATTAAACTAAATTTCTACAGTTTTGATGTTGGGTTCGAAGCCACACCAATTCTGTATTGTAGAAGACGCAAAATCACATGACCACATAAGCTGTTATGATTTAAACTTGGATATAAATATATAAAATATATTATTATATAAATAATATATATATATTTTTTTTATTTCGAGTTAAAACGAACCAAACACGATTGAACAAAAGGGTTGTTCTTTTTTGGCTCGTTTATAATTCGAACTTAAAAAAATTATTCGTGTTCGGCTCATTTACTCAACAAAATATTCAAACACGAAATACTTAACGAGCTGAAGATGAGGTGTTCACAAATAACGAGCTTTTTTAACAACCCTATGTAGGGAAGGTTGTGCTTTTCTTTGACTATCACTTGCTATTTTTTAGAAACTTGTTTTTGCATTCAGGAACAACTCTTCAACTTTGGCTTAGAATTATTTTTGCAAATACGTTAAGTCCAATGCAGACATAAGTAGTGCGGTTCTTGATGAGAGCTAACATTTAAGAATTATTGATTAAAGAAAGCAGAACTGATGGTAAAAATTTACCTTTTGCGTAGCATGGTCTAATGCCATTATTCGTCTTTTTTTCAATTCTCGTCCATCTCAACAACTTTTTTGGTATTTTGCTTGTTTTATTCGAGTGTTATGGGCACTCTTGTTAAAATTTCCCTGTGGAAAAGGATGATATTGCCTCTATAATAAGAGGACGAAGATGAAGATAAAAGGAAGTTTTGGAACAGAACCTTTTTTCCCCCTATATGGACACTTGTTTATTGAAGCAGAATGGGTGAAATTATTCATGCTTATGACAACCTCATTTTTTTTGGGTTATTTTTTATCTTTCTAAAGGAAGGACATTTTTAATTGGTACTTGTAATTTAGGAAATTGATGCACCTAGTTATTCTGGCAGGATCTGGCAGGACATTCCTGTTCTTGTCATGGTCAGCATGCTTGCATACTTCTGCTTTTTGGAGCAACTTTTGGTAAGTATTTTTTACCGTTCCTATTAGTAGCATTACAGGAGAACACAACCAGTGGTCGAAGTTTAACATTTTTATGTTCGTCACTGTTTAACAGGTTGGTGATATGGGCTCACGTGCTCTTGCAGTATCTCTTCCATTCTCTTGTGTGTTGGGTCTACTCTCATCCATGATAGCTTCCACAATGGGTAATGTCATTGCTGAATGTTCTCGGTTAGCATTCTCATTTCTGTCTGCTTTCTTTTTACTAGGAAATTGGAAAGGTATGAAATTGAAATGTAACATACCTTTTGAGTTTCATGGAACTATCTCCAAATCAGGAAGTTCAAAGTTAAATTTGTAAATTTTAATTGAAGGAAGTATTATATTCCTTTTCTTTGGCTTGGTGGGTATATGATTAGAATTAGTTATTTGGTTTTGCAAAACGTTGAAAGTCTCGTCTCTTTGCTGTGTATAGTTAGAAATTGACAAATGCCCGCATGCATCAGTTTAACTTGCAACTTGGGATGAAAAGAAACTGAGAATCTATATTCCCATCAGCATGATTTCTATTACGTATTTTGTGATGATGATGCATATCATGCAGAAGTAGCCAAACATAATTTATCTTCTGTCCTTTCTGAAGTTGCATTCATCATTGCTTAAATCTTACTTCTGTTATCCTTTTGTGCAGTCAGCAAGGGCTACATCTGGTCTTATGCTTCCTTCCAGTTTGCCACTGTTATCCTCTTTGCTCATATTTTTTACAAACTGGTGAGTGGAATTCCTTTTTACTCCAAGAGAGTAGTCTAAGAAACTGTGATCGCTTATTATATTTTGGCTTTTTAAAAATTATCCAGCTTAAAGTTGCTGCTGTGCTCTCCGTACTACTTTCATCATTCACTGGATTTGGGATTGCAATCAGTACAAGTTCTTTGCTTGTGGAATATTTAAGATGGCAAGCTAGGAGAAATCATAGATTGACACAACAGCAGAATAATCATGCTCAACAGCAATCAAATACAGACAATGTTAACATTGAATCGGAACATGCAGAAAATAATCAGCAGCAAGAAGCTGTGAGCCAGAACCAGAATACGAGTTCTTCACTTCATAACTGAACTTCTGAAACTGTTTTCAGGTAATTAATACTTTGGCCTGTTAGTTTAGGTAGCAATTTAAATGCGTGCATATTTTACAGGCAAAACTTCATTCTTTAATGATGACTACCTAATCTTTTTCCCTAATCATTTTCCATTATATAAAAGTACCACCCGATTACTCTACCGAATATTGATTGGGTTAATATTAATTGTGTATGTGCGGAAACAATCTAACCATCAATTAATTTTAACAAAAACTTGTAGAGGTTTGATAAGCTTTTGAATCTTTATTCAATGAGTTTAGGCAAAATTTAGTGGTCTTTGGCGGGTAACTAGTTAAGGCGAAGTCTAGGGGTTTTTAGTGAGGCGAGCAATCCTGGTTATGCTTTATTGAAGTCTGTCATACGCTAGTAGTGGCTCCACACTCTGTTACGGTTTGATGAAAATCTGAAGATTCTCTGTTAGTTGATTGAAAAAGTTTGATGGTTTTAGGTCAAGGTTTGGGGACTGCTGGAAATGTTCTTATGATTTGAGGCATGAAAGTGAGAATTGTGGATTGTTACATTGAAGGTTTCATGTCATATGTTACATAATCATATAGCTTGCCTTGCCTTTTCTTCTTGTCCTTGGTGTAATCAAAATGATATTCTAAGTGCATAATTTAAGGGAATATTTTTGAAAATGTTAAAGAATATGTAATATATGAAGATTTAAGTGGCCTCTCTATAAATCTTCCAAAATTATAAACAATGTCCTCCGATTTAAATTTAACAATGATGCAGAAAGCATAAGATTATTCTTGTAAACCTAGATTAGGAAATGGACTGGTCGCACAGCCACTTTATTGCCATGTGATGGAGAAGTTGTGGCTATAGCTGTTTGCTGAGTTGTATGCCAAAATAATTTGCTCGTTTGCATCCACAAATCAAAGTTTTATTGGAGCTAACCTTACATCAATTGTATGTTAAGGAGCGACCTAAAAGCTGATTGAAGTTGGGCTATACAATAATGATCGAACTCATTTTTGAGATGAAGGCTTTAGTTTATGGGTGCGGTCATCAACTTGGTATTTCTACACCAACATAGACGCTTTTGCAAATTCTTTTTAATCTGGGAAATTTGTACATTGCCATTGCCGGGTTCCAAGCCCCAGATGCGAAATATGGAGGGTTTTGTTCGTTAGTTGACAACCAACATAAAAAATTCATAGAAATTATGATATAAATTTTTTAAATCATTGTATAAATGCTAGACCGTTTTCTAGAAACTACATTGTATTGTTTGAATACAGTAAAACGTGTGTAAAAGCCACCACACTGATGTTTGGGTGTAGTTTTAAATACGCAAGTGTTCCTACATTATAAGCGAACAAGAAGTTGTTCGAAGCCTTGTGGGCCTATCGCATCGCTTATAGGACCCCAACTAAATGTTCTCCTTTCACCTTGATTTACGGGAGGTTGTGCTACCTTTGGAAGTACAACTTCCCTCTCTTAGGATTGCCGCTGATAATAAAATTAGCACCGAGCTGATTTCCGTCAATAATTAAATCATCACAAGCTTCATGATCATCTCTCTCTTTCTCCAATCACTTTTTTTCCCTACGATTCCTTCTTCGTGGGTTTGGGTTAGGTATTAAGTTCTACGACTTTCCGCTCTTGCGATCCTCTTTGGATATCATTTAGGATTGAAGCAATTATGCTAGTCACCTTTCTTAGTGTCTCCCCGATCAGCTCTTAGGTTTAATTTGAGTCTCAGTGTTTTCTTTTCTACTTCGATCACCTTGATTAGCTCATGTTATATGCAAGTCCCAATACATTTTTTCTTGATCTGATCACCCCGACTAACTTTTAGGCTGGATGTGAGTCCCAATGCTTTTCTTCCTGATCTAGTCTCCCTGTCTTTCTCTTAGTTTGGATGCAAGTCTCAGAGCTTTCCTTCATCGTGTTTTTAGGTTCTCTCATCGATCAACTCTTAGGTTGGTTGTGAGTTTTATTGTTTTCCTTCCTGACATGATCACCTCAATCAGCTCTCATGTTAGATGCGAGTTTCAGTGTTTTCTTTTTTATTTTTTCTTGTGATTTTTTGAAGTTTCAAATTGTTTAATAATGTATTAACCCATTTTTTGTTTTTCCTACTTTCCATCTCAACATCCTTGACTTGTGTCAATGATTGATTGGGGCTGCGAACTAATAGTTGGGACCCATATTTTTTAATGTTATCTACATGATTACTCAGAGATGTCCATCTTAATAAAAGAAAATGGAGGGCTATGACAAAGGAGAGAGAAGGTTCTCCCTCACGGATTGTTGTTACTCAGCCACTCCGGCTGCTATAGTTTGTTTGCAATTGACACAAATAATCAGCGAGGAGAGTGGGCGAGGTTCCATTTTAGATATGTGTTCCTTAGCTAATGAAAACGGCCTTCTAAATTTCATGGCAAAAAATTGTGAGCTTTGGGAAAAAATGGTATACCTCTGATAGGGGAATGAATTCTCGAATCGTTACTGTGTGGGCGAGGTTCCATTTTAGACGTGTTCCTTGGCTAATGAAAACGGCCCTCTAAATTTCATGGCAAAAAATTGCAAGCTTTGAGAAAAATGGTATACCTCTGATGGGGAAATGAATTCTCGAATCGTTACAGTTGAGAGCTTTGGGAAAGCATTTCGAGCAAATTTCCTTCAGATGGCATGGGTAAGCTTCCGTCGTTTCCGGAGGCCAAGCTCGTCGTAATCCTTACCGGAGTTAGTTGTTTGAGCTCGTCAAAGCATGTGAAGAAGTGGGAATGAAGTACTCCAGCCAAAAAGTAGAATCAATCATTTTCCTTGTAATTTTTGATTTTCTTCCTATGGCCTTGGTGGCCATGAGAGAGGCCAATAGAACCTTGTGGCCTTGTGAGGAAGGCCATTTCTACCCTTCGAAGGTCAATTTACACTGCCTCTTAGAGCCTAGAGCTCTGGAAATCAGCAGGGGTAATGGAGAGATGGGGGAGCTGAAAGTTACTGGTTCTTGATTTCCTATGCTCACAGCTCTTGGCAGAGGCAGTGGGATAACTGGCCAAATGAAGAGGAGCATATGTTCTGCTGTTCTTGAAAAGAAAATCATGTCAGCTCGAGATTAGCTGGCGAAGGCTACTGTAGCCTCTCCTAAGAAGGTGGTGTTTTGCGGTTTGACCTTGGGAAGGAGGTGGCAAGCCACTTGGAAGTTTGCTTATTCAATGGGAGGTCTCTACATGCACAGAGGAAGAATCTTTAGGGGCTGTTTTGGCTTGGACTTAGCTTTGGTTTGTTGAATGAGCTTGGGTTGGCGCAAATTATGTGTAATTTGATTTTAAGTTTGCATTTGATGCGTTTAATTTAATTTAGATTTTTTGTCTTGTTTAGTTTTTTAGAGAGAATTTATTTTAAGTTCGATTAGGTTTGAGTTTGTGTTTATGTCCTAAATTTATGTTTTAATAAAGCATATGTTCTATTGTTCCTGAAAAGAAAATCATGTCATCTTGGGACCAGCTAGCCAAGGCTACTCTAACCTCACAAGGAGGTGGTGTTTTTTGGTTTGATCATGGGAGGATGTGGCAAGCGACTTATAGGTTTGCTCATCCAATGGGAGGTTTCTAAGGGCTGATTTGGTTTGCTCATCCAATGGGAGGTTTTTTAAGGTGCCACCCTAAAGTACAACACCGCAAACATAGATCATATTCCAAGGACCTCGTTACAAGATCCTAAACTTTACACACACACATTTTTCTTTGAAAAATCCCTAGGGCGTATATTAAAGAGGAAAAAGTACGGGTAGGTTGTATGAGTGGTCCTAAAAGAAGGCAGCAACCCTCACTATACAACACATAAAAAACTCAAAAAGGAAAAGATTCATATAAGATCTAAAAAACCAAAAACCATCAACGCATGGAAAAGCTAGGGATGAGTCAGTTTAGTCCTGCCTCTGCTTCAAATTCTCGAAAGGGAGCCGACTAGCAAATTAGTGAGGTGCATACCATTACCTGAAGTAACCAAAGTATCATCCATCAGATTCCTGAACTCAAATAAGTCTCCATTATTCTTCTTCCTTTTGGATGTTTAAACCTGCCATTTCTCATCCGAGGATTGACTCATCTGAACGGTGGATTGGTCCAAAGATGGCCGGACAAGTGTAGGCTGTTGCACATCATGAACCCCATATGCCTGAATAACATTAACATCTTGCTCGACCTGATGAGGTAATAGAGTTGCAATAGCAATATTGCCACCTGTAACATCAATGATATGTTCTAGGGCATGTGAAGTCTGAAATGTGTCCCTCGCCCCCACAAAATGAGGCTCCAAAGATGGGGAAACTACAACATTGTGTGGAGGCTGATGATTGACATATGAATAGTGACATCTTCAGGGCTATACTTTTGAATATCAATACTGTCGATAACTTGGAGCATATCAGGAGAAGGGGAATCACTGCTTCTGGCAGAGCACTTTGCTTTTTTGGTCTGAGGTGGGGTGTAAAGGATGACATTGAGAACTGGAGTGGTCAAACATACGACAATTCGAACAATACGATGAGAAATGCTCAATCACAACCTTTTGCCAATAACAATGATGTTGTGTGCCTAACCAAATTTCCTCAGAAGCGGTAGAAGTGATGTCCTTTTCAACGAGTACTCTGACTTCAGATGAACGAGAAAGATTAAAAATAGGTGCCTAACCAAATTTCCTCAGAAGCGGTAGAAGTGATGTCCTTTTCAACGAGTACTCTGACTTCAGATGAACGAGAAAGATTAAAAATAGGATGTCCGTTTTGAGTGACTTACCATAAGCTGAGACAATAGAGCATAACACTTTTTGAGTAAAATAATAAAATTTCAGGCCATGGAGGCGAATCCAAACCTGAATGATTGGAGGTCCTGTCTGTATGTCAAAATCCACCGACCATTTCAAAGTTTCATTGCTCTGTTATCAATCCAGATTGCTCTTATAGCAAATAATCAAAGTGTAATCCTCTTCATTATTAAATTGAATAAGAATGTGTTTTTTATCTAGAGTTAAATTTTCTACTCTCTAATAAGATGCATGAGCTCAAATTTCTTACGAATAAATAAATTTTCGGACCAAATTTAGACGACAAGAGGAAACAAATTGATTACATTCAACTTCTATGAAAAAGATGACGGACTTCTCATTCTCCCTACCAGGTTTCTTGATGTCATTCGCCAACTCAAAAGGAGGGAAAAAGTAAGAGTTAGGAGTACCTGAGGCGCGAACTTCCGCAAGGGCAGTAGCATAAGATATGTCCGAAGTCATCACCACAAGAGGTAGACACAGCGAAAGAACAACGAAATTGCAATGGACGGAAGAACGAAATCTGAAAGCGTCGAAGAAAAAAATGAGCCTCGACTATTTCCACGCGATTTTTTCCGTGGTATTTGCTCTTAGAGAAAGTTGATAGCCTTCTTCTTGGAGGAGGATTGATTTTCACATTCTACAAACCACAAGAAAATGGTGTTGGTTCCTATCTTGTTGAGGAAGATGAAATTGGTCTAACAATAGTTCTTATTGAAAAGGCAAAGTAGAAAGGAGTGAAACCTCTGTTACCTACCCTCTGATGATAGTGGCAGGCAAGTTTGCAGCTAATACCGACAACAAGGTTGTGCCAACATCTGAGATTCCTGATGGTTGGATGGGCATTGACATTGGACTAGATTCCTTTGAGACATTCAACGTATTTCTTGACAACTCTAACATCATTATCTAGAGTGGGCCCATGGGTGTTTGATTTTGAGAAGCTTGCTTTTGGAACAGTTGCCATTGCTCATAAATTGGTGACTCTGTTGTCGTCGTGGAGAAAGATGGGCTTAGAGCCATCTCAATAGGCGACAGTGCGAGCTTGGAATCTCTAGAAAGAAAGTCACTGCCAGGTGTTTCTTTTATTTCTTATAGCAGCCCTTCTCCAGAGTTTTTTCCTGCAGCAAGCCCTCCTCTGGAGCTTTTCTCTACAACAAACTCTTCTTTGGAGTTTTTTTCTTGCAGACCATGCCCTATGGCTTTTCCTGTAGGTTGTTTACTTTTTTGCAAATTTCCCTGAAACATTACTTATAGGAGTCTTCCATCTACCTACAAACGCTGCAGTTTCTATCAAAGAGAACTACATTCAACTAAAAATATCCCTAAAGTCTCTTGGGGTTGATTACCAAGTACAGGATGAAGACTCTAGGTTTTATCTCACAAAGAAGCTTCCTCGCGCATTGTTGAACATGGTTGTCAGTTATGTTTCAACTTGAGGGGAGTGTTAGAAATTTTATTAGGAAATAATTTTTTCTTGTTGTAAGTTATGAGGATTGGATTTATTTTCTTAGATTGAATTTACTTTCTTTCCTATTTTATGTCGTTTTATTTATCACCAAACAATTATTATGGGTTAATTAATTAGAGAAATAGCTGTAATATCTTTTCTTTCATGTATTTTCTTTTTATTGTCTTTCCTATTCTAGGATTCATGTAAGTGTATTTATAATTCATTTTTATTTCAATAAACTAATTCCACAAAAGCATCAGCTTTTAATTGATCTTACCACAATTTTTAATGCTATCATACTTTCTTGCAGAAGCTATGGATATTGGCTACCGGCCAACAACAATGTACGGGGTGAAGCTTTGTTATAGTCTAGTCTCTATACTGTCATTGAGGCAGCTGAGGAAGCTGCTGTGGGCAGATACATGATATTGAAATAAACTTTAACTGGCAGGCCTTCTGGTAGGATTTGTAAAGGGTCAGTGGTGTGCAAAGCATGTAAATTCTTAGCCAAGTTTGTATGCTCACTATGGTTAAACATGTAATTCCTTCGTGAGAAAACGCTTTTTTTTTTTTTTTTGGTTTAATTTTATGTGCAATGTATAATTAATGTCAGTTTTGAAGTATTCTCTCTTAGCTATATTCCGTAAGCTGTGATTTGATAAGATGTGAAATACATTCAATTTTGTGATATCAGATTAATAAAAATAAACTGTTTTGTAGCAGATTTGAAGGATTGTATTTAATTTCATGTTTTTTTCTGTGACGAAAATATAAGTTCCATTGTACAAGATTGTAGAGTTATACTAGAGATTCCAAATAAATTCGTCGAAATAATCTTCTATAGATTATTTCGATGTACTGTTGTTGTGTTGAGGGCTGCTGTGGTGCCAGCCCTCTTATCTCAAAATTGGCTTGTGATTCTTTATGTTAGTTTTTCAGCCAGCTCAGCTCGAAATTGAATCAAGTTCGATCTGGTTAGAAATTGAAATGACTGCGTCAACTTATTTGGATCCTTCCAACTCTATATCGCCTTGATTGTGGGAAAAATGGCTTAAAATGAATTATTTTGACAAACTCAGCCGGAAATTGGCTCAAAAATAATTTCAGTTGCTATATTATTTTTATTTAGCATATCTGTTTAGGGCTTGAAATTGAATTAATTTTTGAGAGATTAACGAGCTAAATTAGCAGCAGTAGTCCCCTAGTTTTGTATGCTAAGCTGTATGGCGCTTATGTTATGTTGTTTTATTACTGCCGACGAGTAAGATAAATGATTGTTCAGTAAGTATAATTATTTGATTAAAATATCTGTTTAAATCGATGAATTAAATATTATCATCTTACTATTCCAAATGTAATCGCTTTATTGGGCATGTTTTTTTCCCCCCCTTTCTTTTTCATTACTGAAAATGCTCCGTGATTACTATAGCCAACTGATGATAAATAACTCTATTTATCTTCATCAAACATTGAAGTTGATACTGCCTTTCTAACTGCTGTAATACATAGCGAATATATAATTCGCAAGCTGTTTGCTAAGCATAAGTTCAACTAAAGAGGGATCTTAGAGAACATCGTGAGTTGATAGAATTGATCTAACTTAGGCCTGAAAGGTATAGAATTACTGTTCTAATTATGAAGAACAAATGGTGGGAAGAAACCAAAAAACAATTGGTTTGGATGCACAAATTCAAAAGATTACTTATAATAAATAAATTTGGAATGTAAGTAAAACTTTTTTAAAAGTACTCTTAAGTTTAACAAGAATTCTTTTTTCTTAATTAACACACTTTTGCAGTTGTAGCAAAAGTTTCAGATTAGATTGCTTCTTCTTCATGCATAGATGTTTTTACTACGAATGTGTAAAACCTCAGAGCGAATGCATGGTCAAAGTAGGAGTTGCACGTGGCTGCTTTAGTCTTTCCCATCTCAGTCTAACGTGTCACAGTCGAACATGGGTTGATTTACGCGGCCTTCAATATTATCGGAGATCGCCGCTTTGAACATAAATCTCCATCTTCGTCTCTAAGCATGGGTTGCAGACTTTGCACAATTTGAATGCTTGGTTTAAACAAAGCATAGAACAACGATCTAGCTTTGTAGATCGTTCGAAAACTCTATTTGATTTTCTAGAATCATTTCTTCCATATATCTTTTCTCCCTTTGGTTTGTGTAAGTTTGTTGAATTGGTGAACTATGGTTCTCAATAAACATGTCAATGAAGTGATGAGCTGTGGTTCTCAATAAACATGTCAATGAAGTTGTATTATGACAGTAAAGTTGTCATAAGCATTGCAAAAAATTCTATTCAATATGATTGCACAAAACATGTAGATATTGATGGACACTTCATATAAGATAAATTGATTGTGGAACTATTTGCATATTTTCACTGTCATCACAGCAAATGCTTGATATCTTCACCAAAAGACTTTTTAGGCTTAATTTTAAAGTTTCTTATAACCAAGTTGAAAATTATAGATATCTATAATCTACTTCAAGGGAAGTGTAAGAATTTTATGCATTTCTGCTTTTGGTATCTTCTATTTTTATTTTTTTTCTATTTATAATAATTTTTAATTTTAGAATTATCCATTGTTAGTAATTTATATATTTTTTTTCTAGCACAAGGATTTTATGCCTTTCTTAGTGTGGAGGATCTTGCAACAAAGTCTTATGAATTGAAGACGAATAATTATTTTCCTTCTCCCAAACTTAGAATAGCAATAATAATAAATTTAGTATAACTCTTGGTTAAGAAAACCAAGTAGATAAAGAGAGAATATATCTTAGAAGAAATAATGCCATTATAAATTAATATATTTATTAAAACAAAAATATACTACCAAAATGAAAAAAAAATACAAATACCAATAACATCATATTATAATAAAAAGCTCAAGCAAATTAACAAACTTACCAATCAGAGCTCAACAATGCTATAGAAATTCAATAATTAAGTCTTACAAAATAAAAATATTGAAAACCAATTTTGCTAAACGAGCAAAAATAAGTAATTATTATGATCATCAAAATGACATGATTATATCAATTATAAAACACTGAACCAGAATTTTTTTTTCAAAAAAATGGAAAATAGCCCCAAACAATACATTAAGAATATGATTCTATGGTCCACTATTGCAGTCTTTCAGTATAAAACGGTTACTGAACAATACTATAACTTTATTTTATATGGCAGTGACCGCCAAACGAACTCAAATCAGAACGGCATAACTTATGAATTATAAACAAAAAAATAAATAAATCTGCAGTAATAAACAGTAATTTGTTAACCTCCAATTATTGAACAAAAGCTCCATGTTGACCGCTTACGCTTCTTTCTCCATACACATTGAAAAGTAGCTGTTGAAGCCAAAGTCTGCCCACTTCATCATTCTGTAATGTAGCAACCAAATATAAGAAACAGAAATTGTATTTGCATAAATAGAGAAATTATAAAACACCAAATAACTTTGCATTCTCACACCAAAATTTGCTGATTCTCTAGAGTTTTTCAACTCGGTTCATGTATGGATCAAAATGAGTCGACTTGAACTCTAGTCACCTCAAACATGAGCTTTAACCTTTGTAATTAAACAAGTTGAAGCTTAGCTCATATCTACAAATTCGAGTCGATTTGTGTTTTGGCAATTCAAATAATTAAAATTGTGAAAATATAGGAGGATCGACCTCCTTATTAATCGAAGAGAATTTGTGAAACTCCTTGATTAGTCTTATTATCTTATTATTTATGATTATTTTAGAATTATTTCCTTTTCATGTTTAGGCTAAATATATTTGATAAGATTGTAAAGTAGAAGGGATCGGTTTTCTTATATATGTAACCTGATAGTTGAAGAGTTGGAAGAAGAAATGTTAAAATACTTCGTGATCTAAGACTACTGATCACAAGCTTGAATAATGAGTACGATAACAAAAAATCACCTAGCAGAATAGGAATATTCTCAGTAGGAGATTGTAACCTCATAGGGAACTAGAAAATTCTTGAGAAATTTTATATGATTAAGCCAACTTAACTGTAATAAGAGTTTTCAATGCTTCTTATGACCTCGGGAGAGACAAAGGAGAATTTATCTCTGGTTGTCAAGTATAGTTGGAAATCCATAGAAAGAATATTAAGGATTCACTCAATCCAAATCAAAGGGGCATCATCATCACTTTAAGAAACACACCTTTGTAGATTCAGATTTTTAATTAAACAAAAATTAGGTATAGCCACTTGAAAACTCCAAAACTTTTATTATTCAAACTAGACATAGAATTAATAAACTAGAACTTTCACCTAAGTTGAAAATAAAAAGTTCTCTGTGGGATCGATGCACAGACTCAAAAATCTATATATAATACTTGCGCGATACGTATTATTATGTGATTGATGCGTGCTTCACAGCTAAGCGACATCACATAGCACACAATTCTTATAAATTTACATATCTAATACATATGTTTTCATATTTACATAACTCAAATCGTTGGTATCACATCATAAATATCACTACTAATTTTTTTAAAGTTAAACACACACTTTCATGAATAGGTTTTTAATACCACGATGTTATAAATGTAAATATCAAACTTTACTTGTTAGATATGTAAATGGATAAGAAGTATGTACTTAAATTCAACTTTACCCCTTACCCCACCCAAAAAAAAAATAAAAATAAAATAAAAATTCAGCATTGGTGATAACTCTAATGCAGAGTATACCCTTCATAATATTTTAAAACTTACACGAAGTACATTTTCGAAAGTTCCATCCATCAACTTCTTAGGTATCAATCTTGGCAAAGCGCTACGGGCATAGTAGTATCTGGGCCAAAATCAATATATAATGAAGATGCTCATGCATAAAAATTATAATATCAGACAATATCTTATATGAAGGAGAATAATATAAAATCTAAATCATGAGGATTGATCCCATCTTTATGAAGAAACTGACCCGTGATTTTCTGAGAATCTCAGAAAACAACGGATAATGTGCTTCAGCAGCCTCAACGAAGGTTGGCCAGCAAGTGAATCAACCACCGTTCCAAGCATGCGAGTAACACAAGAGAAACGATCCGCAACTGAACAAACATAATAAAGCCCAACATCATCCAATACAATTTTTTGCACAATGAAGATTGCCACCTAGAAAAACAAGAAGAATAGCGTGAATTTTGCCTTATTTTGAATGTAGAGATTATGACCAGAATGAAGAGGAAAGAAAAAAAATTCAAACTTAAAACCATCTCAACAAAAGAGATTGGAAAACCAGGGAAAACAATTTGAAAAACATATTACTGAATTACCGTTTGCAGTAGGTTAACAACCATACAATATTTACTTGCTAAAGATCATAATTTGCTAACCAAAATATTGATAATAAGAATCTGAAAACACAGAGCTTTCAAGCGATCACTTCACAATGGATGCAGTTCCAGTGTTATTATCACTCATTCTTCTTTTTCATGCAACCAAGTCTGGCTGGTGGCATAATCGGAGGCAAATGTCACAGAGGGATTTTTCTTTAGGGTTGGTTGACAATGGCTGTAGATGCCTTCTCAAGAAGATATCAATGAATGTCATAGGGATGGGGACCAACAAAGAGGGCTGACATAAGAGACGAAAAATTTATCTTATCTTCAATTAGCATAATTATTGGAGGAATCATGTTCAAGTTTGAAGAGGGTGTAAATGAGGAGATAAAATAATATTAGTGAGATAAAGTGAGACAGTAGTGAAGGGTAACTTTGGTATCTTATTTTTATCTCTGGCCCAGTGGTTAATTGCTTATATGTCCAGTCAAGAATATAGATAGATCTTACAAAGCCACATATAATCTCATGAGTTCTTTTATCAATGTTTGCAAATTATTTTCCCCATTATTGTGATCATTGCTCACAGCACAAGCATTTCCAGAATAAATAGGGCCAGAGCAAGGTTGGCTTTAGAGTGTACAAGAAAAATGTGAGCAATTTGGTAGGAAGATGAGAAGGCGAGGATTGACTTGTTCGATGAATAAAGTTACATCAATCTCTTTCGAAGTCAAAGCCAACAACTATGAGCTAAGAACAATACAATCTCCCGAATAGACAGGCCTTGGGATAGTACACCTGTAACTGACAAAGAAGTCCTCAGATGCTTATGATTATTTCATTATGACTCGAGTTTAAAAGCTTCAACGATCTATTTTTGTGTAACGAGACCTGTTAGATTGAATGAGAGTGCGTGATCCATGAATCCTCATTTTGCCTTGCATTAAAATATATTAAACATCACACTAGTCTCATCATAAAGCAGAATTGATAGTGGGATTTAACAAACAACCACCTGAAATTAAATATTATTAATAAATTCAAATTGAAAATTACAACAAAACAATGCAGAAATCTGAAAGCAACAAACAATACACAACATTAGAATTAGGGCGGACCTAAAGTGGAGGTATTTTCGGCTAGAGGTTTGGACCTCCGGGGCAGAGGCAAGGCGGGTTCAGATGACAAGTTGGAAGGTGGTAGCCGCAAGCGGAAGGTGGTGAGCAATGAGGACAGCGATGGAAGAGGGTTCCGGGAAGCGGCAGCAAGCTGGAAGGGGTGGAATGGCTGCGAGGCAGCGGAATTGAGTGAAAACAACTACTTGGTTGTTTTCCTGGGGGAGACAGCAAGGGGCAAAGGCGAGAGTGAAGGAAGAAAGATGCAAGAGAGAGTGGGAGAAGGGTGGAAGAAAATACACATCATCTCATGTACAAAATACAGCCGAAGCACCACTCGAAACCATTGGATACAACTCTAGAAAGGAAAATGGAGGCCTCAATGGCTATGCCAAAACAAGTCACAACAAAAACTAACCCTAGACACCACCAAAACAAATAAATAGTCCTAGGATCAACAGAAGTAGACCCCATTCCAAGGCCTTCGAGGGTTAAACCGACCACAATATTTCTTGTCGAGGGTTAAACCGGCCACAATATTTCTTGGACTGGTTCAATATATACATCCCTGGAAATCCCCACACCTATCAAACGCCTCATGTCAATCTCCCGGGATTTCGGGAGCTTCGAACTCGTTCATCAAAGCTTTTGTCTCCTCATAGTATGGGGTTAGGCTGAACACGTTGAAGGTAGCCGAAATGTCATAATCTTCCGAGGTTGGAGGGTTCTCGACCGCGCCTCTAGAAGCATATGGATCCCACTATAGAATGCATTGTCCAAAAAAACACCAAGAAATGTTTTCAAATTATAGGTAACCATCTCTATTTGTCCACCCATCTGTATGTACTTTGTTGAACTAAACTGAAGTTTCGTGTCAAGTATACTCTGCATAATCTTCTAAAGTTAGCCCAAGGTTGGCAATCCCTCTCTAAAGTAAAGACAAGCTGAACCTCTCCTAACCTTGGAGGTTCTCACAATAAGTTTTCAGTCAAGATATCCTGAAACTCTCTCCATAGTGGCTATCCTCTGTTTGATATTGACACTTCTGCTTCACTGCCCTCTAATATCACCAAAATTGATCCCACTTGTGTCTCTCTACTGGCAAAAGCACCTATAACCTTAAACTCCACAGATGGTAAAAGAACTGTGCTTTCCATCCTTTTGTGAATGAAGGTGTTCTTGAACCCATCATGTCGGGTTCTGCGATCAAACTGCCATGGTCTCCCTAACAAAATGTGACAGATATCTACGGGCACAACATCACACCACACTTGATCTTGGAGCTGATCCTTAACCACAAGACATCTTTTTTCAATGCTAACTATGTTCCCCTTCTTCAACCAAGTCAAAGAATATGGTTAGGAAAGTCTACGTAGTGACACTAAATTTGTCTACTATCTGTGTAGATGCCACATTCTTACAACTATCTCCATTGATAATAAGACTACATTAGGGGTGTCAAAAATTGATCTGACACACCAACACGACTCGAGCTCGACTCAAAAAATCCGGGTTAGAAATACCCAAATATTTTTTGAGTCGGGTTCGGGTCAGAGAATTCAACCCATTTATTATTCGGGTCGGGTTCAGGTTGAACCCGAAAAGCTAAACATGACCCGAATAAGCATGAAAGTTTGGGTCAAGGGTTAGCGGGTCAAGCTCAGATTCGGGTCATATTTTTCAACCCATTTATTATTAGGGTCGAGTTTGAGTTGACCCTATTCTCGTATTTTTTGGGTCCGACCCGAACCCGACCCACTGACCCGAATTGACAACCCTAGACTACAAACATTTCTCTTCATAGTTCAACATATATGAAAGATATTGTGGCGAAGCCACTGCTGATCTCTCGTAACCTTAGTCCAATAAGCCCTTCATGCCACCAAAATATCGACTCCATCAACTAAATTGAACTCCTACACATCCTCACTATCTCTTGTCTCCAGTACCACTGCTAGAGCTGTCAAAACTAGTTTTTTTTTACTAGCTCGTGTTCGGCTCGTTAAGTTGTTTGTTCATTAAGCAAGCGAGCCGAACATAAAATAATTTTTTGAGCTCGATTTATAAATGAGCCGAACAAGAATAGGTTTGCTCGCTCGTGTTTGGCTCATTTAGACTCAAAATAATTATATATATAATATATATATATATATATATATATATATATATATATATATATTCATTTAATATATTTTTTCCTTAGAGATGGCGGGCAACTCTGCTAGGGTTTCTCCTGATGGTGATTCCCTGCGTTGAATCTCTCGGTTAGTCGTGCCTGACGACGAAGAGTTTCACGCTATCAGTTTCGTCGTTCCGCCAACCCCTGCGCTTCGTTTACTTCAACGACGTAGGGTTTCACGCGCTTCGTCTCTCCACACCCGCAGTCGACGACGCCTCCTCGCTAGGTCGCGACGCGCGTCGTCCCTGTACTCGACGATGCCTTCGCCCTGCTGACAGAAAGTTCCCGTACTCGACATCACCTTTGTCGCCTTGCCCGACAGAAGGTCTCCCCGTACTCGACGAGTCTCTTTCGGCATGCCAGACAGAACTTTCCTCTGCTCGCCTTTTTCTAGCAGCTCGCTTGGTCGTTTTGGAGATGACCTCGACGATGCGTTCCTATGCCAATGCACTTGCCGACGACTTTCCTATTTCTACTCGTGCTCCTTTTTCAGGTTCAAAGCCTGATTTTCATATTGACATGTCCTGCAATGTTTATCAATCTTTGCTCTTGAAGGCGGCGGTGATCACACTTTCATTAAAAAGCTTGGCAAAAAAAATGGGAAGCCTGCTCTTATTCTCACTGAGGTTGAAACCAATACTCCCGCGTCCTTTTGGTGTTTTGCTATAGTGGGGAAGGTCACCCAAAACTGGAGATCATTCGAAAAGAGTTTGATGCTATAAAGCTATTGGGCAGTTAAAGTATTGACTTACTTGACGACCGACATACTTATTAAGTTATCTCACGATCCCAATTACACTCACATTTTCTCTCAAAAAATTATCAAGATCGACAACCGTTTTATGAAAATTCTCAAGTGGACTATCGATTTTGATCCAAAAGCGGAGTCCCTTATCATTCTTGTTTGGATAAAGTTTTCGAGGTTAAAATTACATCTGTTTAACTTGGAAATTCTCTACTCTTTAGCAATTGCTTACGGTAAGCCTCTCAAAGTTGATAGTCCTACGCTTGTTGTCACCAGACATTCTGTGGCTTGTGTGTTAGTTGAGAGAGATATCACTCAATCAGCTCCGGATGAGGTATGGATTGACAACGGATATTGGCAAAAAAGTTGAAATAGAACCACACCCTCCTTATTGCTCTCATTATAGTATGTTTGACCACAGTTCTGCTATTTGCCATCGCTTGCATCCTCATCTAAGACCGAATTTCACTAAAGATCAGCCACCTACCATCTCTGCTGAGAAGGTGCAACCCGATCCTCTTTCCAACATCGAAGTCCCAGATGAAGAACACCATACTACAAATAACTGCTTCTAATGTTCAAGACACACGGGAGTGCTCATTCGATCCGATAAAAGATCAACTGGTACAAAAAATAACTGCTTCTAATGTTCAACAACCTACACATGTCCAACACACTTTAGACCAATTCATTGATCAGGTGAGTCAATCTTCGATTGTCAGATGAGGAAGGACAGGTATATTCCAGGAGGAAGAAGAAGAATGGAAGCCGACTCGGGCTCGAGAATTTATTGG